TAATACTTTCTAGACTAATACGAGCTTAAAACGAGATTATTTACATCCTTGTGTTCTTCATGTTCATGATTCTTGCATGATTCACTAAATCATTTCATATTCCACATTCATCATCATAATCAGGATCACTACAATTGGTATCATAGCGGGTGTTCTTGAATCTCTCAAGAATTGATCCATGATGACATTTTTGATTTGGTGATTCTTAATTGTGATTTGATCTTCGTGTTAGAAAGTTTTTGGATTCTAGAAATCGAATTGTTCGTTTATTTGATTCATAATTCGATTTTCTTCACTAGAACTCAAGTGATTTTTGCATTCTCGCTCTAAAAACCCATTCAAAATCACTTTCTCTCTCTAGAAAAATTCAAGCTCTTGTGATTCTTTTATCCTTGATTCGAAATGGAAGAAACAATTTGTGAAGATTGGTTTGTGGATGATTATCCATGGTCATTCAGTTTTGAAGGACTTCTCAATTGTTTTGTTACCGGGTATTTTAAACAAATTCACTCATTTCTAATATGAAATGTAAATGTGGAAAGGTCAATGGTTATCCTCTTGATCTTGATCATCATAAGGTGTTGCTTAATCATTTGGTAACAACTTATCATGAAAGAAGAAAGAAGAAGAAAGATGATGAAGTAATTGAAGGAATTTGTCTTGATGAATGCATATATGGTGATAATATTCTTACTTCTTACCCGGATATTCTTGAAGAAGATCATCATGTTCATGATGTTCTTGAAGTTCAAGATAAGAAGATTCAAGTTGATTTTCCTGAATAAAAAAAATTGTTCGATTGGAGTTCAAACCATGATATTTTATGTTCTTGTGATTCGTTTAAAGGAATGATTCCTTATCAAAAGCCTTCAATCCAAGAAATTCAAAAGTATCAAACTCCAAAATATATGATCCAAACTTGTCAAGTTGAAGTTGTAGAAAGTGAGTTTGTTCTTGAATTCAATTCATCTAGACCCAAAAAGATCAAAAAGAAGAAGAAGAAGAAGAAGAAAAAGAAGAAGATCAAAAGCAAGAACAAATGGGTTTCTTCACAAAAAGACTTCAAATGTTGTTGTGAAACCGAAATCTATGAAGCAAATATGGTTCCAAAGCAACAATCACCAAGTGTTGCAATGAATTTGAATTCAAAATTCAATTTTTTTGATGGTTCATATGAAGATGGTGTTAGATCGTTGAAGAACACGAAGAACAATTTGTACAACACTCATCGTGGGTGGTACAATATGAAGATTGGTGATTTTCTTGTTCCAACAAAAGAACCAAGATCATCAATGATTGATTCGTGTGTTGCAAACGGAAAAATAATCGTTAAGAAGGTGTCGCAAATTTTCAAGTGGATTCCGAAAAATTCATGTTGAGATCGACGATGAACGATCAAGTTTTTTCTCAAAACTCGAATTTAATCAATATTTTTAATCGTGCGTTTCGTTTTTCATTTTTTATCGTTTTGATTCGTTGAATGTATTTCGTTTCAAACCTCATTGTTGGTCCAACTAAATTTTTATTTAGATCAAGCCCAAAATAAAATCAATTTTATTGTTCATCAATTCAATCTTTGAAGCCTAAAAATTATGAGTTCATTATGAACATTAGTGTTCATGGAATTAGTTCTTAATTGAGCCCAATGTCCATTCATACACTGTTCAAAAATTGATCCAGTTACATTTGTTTTTCAATATCTTATAACTCGCATAATCGAGTATCTTGATATTCTCAATCATAGTCAACTGCAATTCCTAAATCGAAACTCTTGTGGAATTAATTTTGACTAAATCAAACTTGGTTGGAGTCAATAAAGCCTAAAATCAAACTTGATTTTGATAAAATTTGTTGATTGAATCTGAGTCAAAGTTGATGTCGTTGATTTTAGTTGTTAGTTCGAATCAAAAGTTTGGATTCAACCGATGTTTGTTCTTAAAGTCAAAATCTATTTTGATTTCGACTAGTATGACTTGATGTTGTTCAGAAATCGAATTGATTCAATTTGAAGTTGCTTATTGTTCATACAAACGAAGAACGAATGATTGAAAAGTCAAAATTTGATGTCGATGATTTGAGAATGGATTGTTTGGAAATCGTATCGTGAGTCAATGATGTTAGTTGAAAATCGAACAATGTTGGTTGAAAACTGAAAGTCAAAAGAAAATATAGAATCTAAATCAAGTTCGATTTGAAGTCAATTGAAGTCAAAATAGCATTCGACTGGTATATGTTCATTCAATTCTACTGGAAATTATTACTTGGAATCGAATGAAAATGTCTTGGGATTAAAAGATTGAAGTATCAAGAAGATGAATTCGAGTCGAAATTGTACACACTCAGAGTTGAATTTGATTTCAACTGGTTCAATTTTGATGTTGATGTTCGAGTCGAGTGTTCAATTTCAAATTCGAATGGTATGATTCGAAACTGATTTCAATCGTGATAGTAGTTGAGTCCAAGTCGAAATGAACTGGAAACATGTTGTGATATCAAATGGTTATGTCGACGTTGGAGGTAAATGGATCAAGTCGACATCGAATGTGTTTTGGTGTTAATGATCGAACTGAATTTGATGTGTTGAGTCATTCGATGTATGGATAGGATCTGTTATTGAAATTTGCTACTAGGATATTCGATGGTGAAGCCTCACAATTGAGTTATGGGAAGCCTTGATATGCGAATGTTGGATATCGTTGCATCTAATGACGTCTTGAGGTCGAATTTGTTGAATGGTTATGTCAACAATCGACAGTTTAGGATCGAGGTCGAGGGTGTTTTAATGGAGATCGAAGGTTTGGGGCACATAATCGACACTCGATGTCACTGGAGGTGGTTAATGGAATGAAACTCTGAAGGTTCGAAATGGGTCAATTGAGTATGGCGTATGAGAAGGTGTGATTTTGAAGGTTTCGTTGTGGATATTAACATTCTTGTATGATCGCATCTGATTTGAAGTGCAGATGAAGAAGAAACAAAACCTATCGATTCGAATCCCTGAACTTTCTAAGAAGCAAAAAAAGTTATCCACATTCGAAATAGAGACAAAATTTGTGAAGAATGCAGGATTTTAATTTCGAATCCCTAAAGTTTCGTAAAATTAGTAGAATTTACCTAGTTTCGCAATTGGGCTGAAAATTATGAGAAATGGAGGAATTTACATAGCAGGTCCCTATAGTTTATGCGAATTGCTATTTTATGCCCAATTTCGCAACAGGGGTAAAGTTTTGCATTTAAAGCTATTTTTGGCGCAACGAGCCCCTGTAGAATTCTAATATTGACAATTTTACCTGGATTTTCGAAATTCTTGCAACTCTTACCTAAAAGTTGAAAATTTTCACAAAAATTGGAAATTTTTCATGACTTTTTCGTGATTGTTTTTCATGCAAAATTTTCGTGGTTTCATTTTTGGCACACATCGAGGGGGCAATTTATGAATTTTATTCATTGGCGCTTCTCAACCTTAGTGAGTGTTATAACCACTTGTTGATTATAAAATGGGGAGAATGTAGAGTGGGTATTCGAAGCTTATCGGGTATTTATTTGTGGATTTGAAGACCGATATTACTTCGAGGGAGAGTTGGTCTTGATTGCACAAGCTCGTTGGATATTGAAGTCAGGACATCTAATCCTAACTTTAAAGGGGATAATGTTAGGGTGCAAAGTCATTCATGGATGTTATGTGTGCTTACCCTTTTGTTTGTGTGTAATGAGTTGTCTTTCCTGCAAATAGGAATTGAGTGACACTTATTTTATGTAAGAACTTGTGAGAGATTAGTCTACTGAAAGAAATATTGCATGACCCACTTTGTAATACTTTCTAGACTAATGAGGGCTTAAAACGAGATTATTTACATCCTTGTGTTCTTCATGTTCATGATTCTTGCATGATTCACTAAATCATTTCATATTCTGTATTCGTCATCATAATCAGGATCACTACAGAAATATGGTTATAAGACAGCCAATTATTTCACTATAATGATGTTACCATTTGTTTTTGGCGGAACCATTGCCAAGAGTTTTGTCCCTTGAACCTGCAAGGGGTGCTGCACCTAGACCAGGTGATGTCCCTTGGAACTCTGTACCTAGGGGCGCTTCCCTCGGACCCACGTATTCTCGAGTTTACATTTATTGTTTCGAGTGTGCACCCCGAACCTCCTGTTCCAGTGAGTAAATGGAGCTCAACCTATCTCAGTATTAATAATAACTATACTAAAATATGTTGATAACACTAAAATCACCAAAAATAGTGTGAAAATGATATTGAATAAACTAATTGGAAAAAAAATAGTGTTCAACGATGAATTCTCCGTTAATACGTTTTCTCACATCTCTGTGTGGACTCGACCACTAGCACTCGTACCATGCCACCCCGGGGTAGAGTTCTGCATCGTTATGGGGCGCCCCATCATCACCATGTCATGCACATAGTCGAAACTATGTGCAATGCTTTAAAAACCGGTTTTTTAGTTGAACTTGTCTGATGATCGATTTCTGGTTCAATCGGTTGAACCGTCCGCCTACATTTGGTAGTGGTGTGCATCAGCCTTTGAGTTATGTATACTCCGAATAACATAATCGATTGAGCTATTAAATTTTCTTTTGAAATATATTGTTTTTCTTCATGGACTACGTGAAATTCAACCATCCAAGTCCAATAAACTGGTTCACATGTTTTTTTACCGGTCCTATCATACTGGCTCAACCCGATTTTTAAAGAAATTGTGTCGTTCGATCCAGTCTGAAAATGGGTATAAAATCGATCGTTGTTGAACCATCCTCATCTCTAGTTTTCAGTCCGACCAGTTCGAACCGGTTTTTAAAACATGCATGCATGTCCTTGGGGATACCATTAGTCTTTCTCTCATTTCCTTTACCAATCATCATGCTCATATCTTCAACGAAGCTTATCACCCAAGAGCTTTTCTACCAGATTAGTTTGGTCATACATCAACCATCTCGAGTTTGAGGAAGGTGTTACGTACGTAAAATCTATAGACATATTTATTCTTTGTTTTGTTTTCCCTTTCTCTTTAGGGTTGTGGAGAATCATTCATTCCAATTTTTCCTCTCAATCGATCACATTATCAAAAATTCAAACAACTTATCAAATTATATTGTTAAAATTTCACCACAAAAACACATCTAAACACCATAACCTATAGCTTATTTATTACAAATAACCATTTTGCAACACCCTTGTGGTAGAAGTGTTAAAAGTCTTCCTCGTCATATTCATAAACTAAAACTTCGAAAGTTTTGACAACAAAATTAGTTACAGATTTAGACGAGTCCGAAGTTGCAGCCAAGGAATCTTCAAATTATATCTTCTGGGTAAGGAAATGATTCCAATCTGATGATCAAGAAAGGATGATATATGAGAGGATATTAATCAACTCAAACAAAGAATAAATAAAACAAGAGATGAGAACAATGGGAACAAGTTATGCTTTTTGGGATTCTGTATCCTTTTGATTGATGGCAAGAAAATCCAAATCTAGATGAAGTTCAATTCATAAGAAGCACAGTGGCATTATACCGAATCAGATTGATATCAACAAACCATATAAGATCATCCACAGTGCAATGAATTCCATAACCATCAATACTTGACCATCATCACAATGGTTCTTGTGGTGATCCCGTGTACCTAACTACAAAGATCAAGAACGAACAAGTAATTAAATTACCAATGGATATCAAGAAAATGGTTAGTAATGTCTTAACGACTATTAGCAATGGAGAAATTAACTGCATTCTTTTTTCACTTTGCACCCAAACCCAAGAAATCCAACCCATTGGCCTGGCCACCTTCACCTCCAGTCATGTCAAATCGTTCACTAAATAACTCTTCCCAGAATTCCTCTTCAAAATCATTCCCTTCTCCAATCTCTTTATGTTCTTCCACTTGCGTTCTTTTTGCTCTACCAATACCTTGCATTTCCAAAGCGAGTTCTTCAAGCTCAGACACTTGAAAATCCGAAAACTCTTCACCTTTTTTGGATGATTCTCCACTTATAACACAACTAGGCCCTTGATCGATTGGTCTTCTTCGTTTCTTGATCATGGCTTCTTCAAGTTCGTTTTTTTTGCCATGCCGGGATAGCTTTTGAAGGAAGTCGGGATTCTGCAACGCTTTTGCCAAGAAACTCATCATTTTTTGCTGCTTTTTTTCAGTTCCTAGTAGTCTGTGCTCCATTTCTTGAAGATGGGCTCTGGTGTTTTGCTGTTGTTGTCTGAGCTTCACTAATTCCATCATAAGAACTTGTTTATCGCGTTGTAAACGTTCAACTTCTCCATTTAATCCGAATCTTCCAACCTCGACACAAGGATTATTAGGTTGTTGTTGTGGAGGAGTATGAGAAGGGGCCTTTCGTCTTTTAATGTTCTTCAATATATGCCTTTGGCCCCTCATGAACGCTTCGTTAGCAAACTCCCATATATCAGGATCGATCTTTCTAAAACCCTGCATGCATTAACCGAAATATAAATTCCTGAAGCTAATACCAAGGAAGTGTATGATTACTTGATTAGGTTTCAAGGTTTTCAGACTTGCATCAGGATTTAATTAGGAGTCATACATATGAAGTATCAAGCATATATAACAAACTGGAGTATGCCTAATTAAAGATGATACCTAAACGTAAGCCTAAAAAAGTAGTGTCTTTTACATAGTACCCAAACGTACGTATGCCCGAAAAGATATAAAGAAATAAACTTCTATATAAATCATAACTTATATGAAGTTTTGTCCAAAATTAGTTAATTAACTTTATATTAAACTTAGTGGGGTGAGTTGCTTACCAAACGCTTAGTTGTATAATACTTATATTTGCAGTTTTAACAATTCGTCTCTTATTGCTCATACATCTATATATGTGTATCTGGGTATGAATATGTGTTAAACGGGTGTTTCTCTTTAGGGGTTTTGCTACATGATTTTTTTTGTGGACAAAGTTGCTAATTGATGTACATCGTATTCATAATTTTCGTTTTTTTCACCATCATTACACTAGCTTGTTATTCATTGACTCATTGTGTGTGGAAAGTACCTCTAAATAATAATCATTCCGTTCAAAAAAAAATTGTAAAAAATATCTAGTAACTAACCGCACTTTCATTTAGCAGTTAGCACACACCCCGAAAACATGTATGGATGCATACACACGATACCAATCAGTCTGTCAACTGCATGAATAAATGCATAATATAAAGAAAGATTGTTTGCACCACTAAATCAACTCAACCCCACTAATTTCCTTTCTCATAGTTGGATTAGCATCATATAACTCAAGCAAATTCAATGACAATATCAAATTCGCAACAGACTACTAGTGGATTCAGAAAAAGACAAATTTATAAGTTGACTACAAACTTAATTGAGAGAGAGAGAGAGAGAGAGAGAGAGAGAGAGAGAGAGAGAGATGAACTTACATAGGTATTGAGCTGTCTGATGAAGCTGGAGAAATTATTGTGCTTGAAGTATCTTGGAAGGAGATTAGTGGAGAAAGCTTGTGGATCCCAAACCACAAAGCTTTGACCTCCTCTACTCCAAGACAAAATGCGATCTAAATCTGGGTGATCCACCATGTCATAAACTTTAGTCAAGAAAGGTGGGGGTCCAGAATCATGAAGACCCTCTATTGGCTGTGGCATCGGTTGCTTTTCTTGGGTCGAATCGCTAGCACTTGATCCACCTGATGGGTATTCCTCCTTAATAACCGACAAGAAAGGATCCATGATTAATATAGCTCTCTAAAATCAACGAAAGTAATTGATGGGTTGCAATCTTTTCAATCGAATCTCAAATGGGTTCATCAGATTTCGAGGTAAATCCCCAAAACGAAACCAGCTTTATAAGATCCAAACGAGAAATAATTATATACTCAACCAATATTTTTTTGATGGGTCGCGATTTTTTCTGAAATCTAGAATAGGGTTTATCACGTTTTGCAGTGAAGCACACATTAAAACCAAGAATCGGAAAAGAAGAATATCAAGAAAATTCAGTGACACACAAGATCAAACAGATGGATTGCATGACAAAAGGATGAGAGAATCTAGCTTTAAAACTCGGATTTTAAGGATGATTGGCGTTGAAAGCAGATGAAATTTATGGAATTTGAAGGACAAGAACAACATTTGAGGAAAGGTTTTGACAAGTGTCAGAAAAATCTATATTTCGGTGCTAGGCTTTCTCCTTTGGGAAAGTCCACTTTGACAAGTTGGTGGTGTTTCCGTAATATATGACCAAATATTGGGGGCAATAATTAAAATATAAGAGTGTTTTTGACCATATCGGAAGGTTCTAGATACCATTTTGAGAACCTTCTTCAATCTCTAAGTTTTTTTTTTTTTTTTTTTTTTTTTTTTTTTTTGTTAACTCGATTTTGTTCCTTTCCATAATTCCATACTGATTATTGATTAATTACTATGACGAATATTGATCTCCAAAACGATATTTTATACAACTGTCTCACAAACTCATTCGGACGATTAAAAAATGGTTCAAAATCAGTTTTTGTATACTATTAAATTAAAAATATACACAACTAACTGCTTTCTGTATGAATATTTCCAGAAAGGACACAATTAAGTGTAATTAACCAACAATATGGAGAATGGAGAAGACGTAGGGCCCAATTCATACAAGTTGTAAGAAGTCTCGTATTGGGTCTAGAATTCACGGATTCATTTGGTTGATTTATGGGGCCAATGCATTTGAAATTTTTAATATTATATTTTCTTTATCCAATATAACACCATGTTGTACTTTTTATCTTTTTCCCGTTATGACTAATCCGTCGAGTCTTGTTCCCAAAGAGAACTACAGCCGAGAAGAGAAATGAAGTAAAAAAAAAAAACTGGAAAGAAAATAAAAGTTATCTATTATTTTTTTGGAAGGAATATTAGAGGAAAAAAAAAAAAGACAACTGCAAATTTGGTTTTTGTGGTTTGTAAAAAATTTAGATAGGATTCAAAATCTTTCGACTTTCATGGATAGTTTCAATTAGACATTTGGTCTTCTCAAACTTTTTAGTAGATTTGGAAGGAATATTAGAGAAGGAAGAAAAAAAAAAGACAACTGCAATTTTTTCGTAGAATTGATCTTCTCAAACTCTATTATCTGCAAATTTAGTCCACATACAACCTAAAATTATTGATATACCCTTTCAATGATTCTTTTTTTTTTTTTTTTTTAATTTCTTTTCCTTTTCCATTTTGTATATTTATATTAATCCCTTCACTCACTCTCTCTCTCTCTCTCTCTCTCACACACACACACACGCACACACACACAAATGTTGCCTGCTTTTGCAGGATTCTACGGAAGAGTTTCGGTTTTATTGTCGACAGTTTCTTCAACATCGATCTACAATGAAGACTCATAATCACAATGGAGATTCTTTGATGATGACATGTATGAGTATGAGCAATTCATGTGAAAATGCTACCTCGTCGACTCAATTCTCTTCTAGAATTGGTACTCCATTAACCCTCTTGGTGATTCCTAACAAAGGATATCATATTGTTTTGAAATAAGGCTAAAATCAAACTCACCCATCTTTACTCATAAGAACACTAGTATCAACAAAACTCATCTAGAGGGGATTCATGTCTGAACATTGGTGTGGATGAATGGAGGTTAGCAAGAAATTAACCAACACCGTTTTCGATACCCCAAATCAGAATTAATAGCATCACTGCCTCTTCTTTCTCCATTCAATCGGTATGGATGAATGGAGGTTGCCACTCTCCATGCAACTCCATTCACAACAACCACACTACTCTATTCGTTGTTACAACAACCTTTGTCGTTGACAACGAATCAACTGCCCTTGGCCAACCAGATGCTACCAATGAACCAACCATTCACGAAAAATACATTGCTCACCTTCCCGTTTCAACCCCAAAGTTTCTATGGACTGACTCTGGCGCCTTTTTCAGCATACAACAATATGTTGGTACAACCGTATCTCGCTACCCAACAGTTCCACCCTAGTCACATCCTCCAAATCCCAAACCAAGACTGATTTTTAACAAGTATAACATCACCCTTTGCAAAAGAACTTTTAGACTACAAAATATTGAATACTGCAATGTTGCCACACCTTAAGACTTACAATGGAACTACAGACCCAAATAGCCATATTGACACGTATTAGTGGATTATGACCTCCCTAAATCTAGATGAACGGTTTTGGTGCATGTACTTCCCCAACAACGCTAGATGGAAACACAAGAATGTGGTTTAAAACTCTCCGTCCAGGAAGCATTTACAACTTTGCCCAATTGAAGTATCTCTTGCTGACAAACTTCATGAAATCACAGAAATAGAAAGGGGACTCACACTTTATTATTGGTTGTAAACAAAAGGAGGAAAGAGACGGTAGGAGAATATTTCACAAGATTCACCAACGTTACCTTAGATGTCCCATGACACGATGAAGGGATAATAGCAGGAGCTTTCACGTGGAGCCTCCTTCTCGGGCCATTATCCCATAAGCTCATGGGAAAGAAACCCCAAACGTGAACCGAGTTGAAAGAGAAGGTAGAATGTTACCTAAGACAATAAAAAGGTGAAACGGCACAACAAGCATACCTCAACGCCATGATTGCCTCGACCACGAAACACTACCACCAGTCTACCCACCACCAAGAGCGCCAGGGTGGAAGCAGAAACTTTGGGCGAGCGATGAGCCTTAAGAGGCGTTTCAGACCATTCCCACGGGACGAAAGAAGAGGGCGACGATCGGACATCTACGTCTTCGCCGATAGGAAAGCGGTAAAGGGGGTGAAGGGATGCTATTGCGAATACCATAAAAACAAGACCCATGATATTGTCAACTGCTTGGTGCTAAAGCGACAAATGGAAAAAAAAAACAACTAAAAGGGAACTTGATAGAGATAGCACGAAGCCTCTGCGCCAAATTTGACGCAGAGAACGCCAAGGATGGAATGAAAGTGAATGACCCGCCCCATGAAAATTTGACCATACGAACAAAAAGAGAAAAGTTGGGGAGCGACGACAGAGTAGATCATATCGTAAGATCCACACAAGTCTTAACTTTCTCAGCGATTGAATCACGCCCTGTATGGTGGCGAAGGGATAACCCATTGATAATATAAGGATCTACAAGAAATACCATCATACATCGTGTGTATGTAGACACTGGTGTCACACCCCCGAACCGTCAGAAAAACAACGACGGAAACGTCCGGGAGCGGCGACGTCATGCGTAGTATCACAACAATCGTAACATATCAATCAAATTAAACACAACCATTACATTACAATAAGAATATTTATATCTGTTTGAAAACATAGTTTGTATACATCGATATAAACAAAAGATAAATACGAGACTCCAAAATGCTCCGTCTTCTCCAAAAGACATCAAGGTACCTGTCTATCGTTGTCCTGAGAATACAAACGATTTTGAAAACGTATCAGCATAAAGTTGGTGAGTTCATAAGCATGTTTTTGTGTTGAAAACTAGTCACTGAGTTTGTATAAATAGTTCCTTTCCATTATAAGTAAAGTGTCGATTATATCAAAATGCATTGTTATCAAGTTCTAAAATACGTATGCATGCTTGCCAAGAAAATCCAATATTTTCTAACATGTTTGTTGTTTTCTGTATGAAAATTATGTTCTGTTTGAAAACCCTAGCTACCACCAGTATGTAAGGTAAGTGTTGTTCGAAAACCCTAGCTACCACCAGTATGTATGGTAGTTTTATTACTTAAAATAAAACCAAAGATTGTGTCTCTGGAATACCCTCCAGTAAGTAGATAAGTAGTTTTATTACTTAAAATAAAACTATAGAAGAAAGAAATCCCATAAACAAAGGTTAGTTTATACTTATTGTGAGTCGTATAACCATACTAATATGACCGATGACCTTCTTGACATTCTTCAGGTGTCGTACGATTACAAAATTTGTCACCCCAGGCGTGCCCGCCTAACTGTAGCTAACAGTTCAGGTGTGGGATTGTCGGTCTCGAATAGATCTATTCACAAATTCCACGTTCTCCCTCCAGGAGACTATGGTTATACTACCGGTCAGGATTTATTGGTACCCCGAGGGGCATAACGAAGATAGTCTCACAATTTTGTATTAACTAGTTTATGTGTTGTTCGGTTGTTACTCGAGTTCGAAATCGTTTGTAACGGTGTAGAGTATAAATAATTATACATAGAAATAATTATTTAACAAGATACTCTAGGTTTGTATTCGTAGAAATGGATAAACTAGATCTGAAATAGTTTATATGTTTGAATCTGTAAGACTGATATTGAAATCCCAAACTATACCCATTATAGTTTGAATGGTTTGTTGCGCTCAAGAACTGTTTTGAAAACTATGCAATTATGATTTGAAAACATCCCTTATGCTCCGCATATTACAAAAGGGGTAATTATATCTAAATGTTTGATGGAAAACCGTTGTAATTGCATCAGTCTTTAAGTTATGTAAACTTTTATGTTTAGCTTGTATTCCTCCCCTGAAAACATGAAAAACTCGAAAAAGTGTAGGGGTATGAACTCACGGTTGGTTGGATGCAGAAGAATGAACTGGACGATTCTTGTGTATGTTGCACTTAATGGAAATCCTAATATCAAATGAATACATATGTGTAGTCAAATTAGCGATTTCGTTAGATAAGTGTTATATAAACACTTGGTTTTGGTTAAGGAATGTCATAGGGAATTGGTTTGATCAAGGAAAACAGAC